GTCTGTTCTGGAGGGTGTTTTGACGGCAGAGGGAGATAGAGTGAGTGAGAGATAAATAGAGACACCTAGAGAGATAATAAAAAAGAGAAAGAAACATGGAGCGGAGAAAAAGAGAGACACACAATCTCTCTGACGAGTTTTCTCCAGGTATATAAGAACAGATACAGGTGGCTTATTAAGTATAGATACAGGTGGCTAATTATACAATTTCTCTAGGGAGGGGAGATGAAAGAACTCCTTACATCATAATAGCGGTAAGATCATCCCTATATAGCCTGGGGGAGATGGATCCTTATGTGTGGAGGGAGGAAGAAGGGGTTGTGTGGGCGTGATGGGGGGGAGGAGGATGTGTTCAGGGAGACCGTGTGTCTGTCTGTTGCTGGAGTAATTAGACTGGTAAATTACTGTACTGGGGCGAGGATGGAGGGAGGATCTCTCTCGGTAGAATGAAAGGAAGTGGTTTACTACATACAGTATATTCACCTAACCAAAACACAAATGACTCGACATATTTCCCCCGAATGATGATTTCCTCTTGAATTATTCGCAGTTTTGAGATTTGGTTACGAGAAAGTTTTAAATAAAGCCGAAATTATTGAGAAGTAGAAGTGAAGTATTATTTCTTGTGCTATATGACTATGCTGTTTGATGTCATAAAACGTTCATAATAACAGGAAGGTAAAACACTCCACGAATGATGCTATTATACAACACTGGTATAACAATAGTGAATTTAACTCACAATCTCTCTGGTGACAAAAAAAAGTTGGTTCATTTACTTGTATTTAATGTGGGAAATCGCTTTAAGAAGTTGGACGACAAGTAACACACAAGGAATCAGAGTTCTGGTAAATACTTTCATAACGATTACTAAACTCTCTTCTGTAATCGTTTTTTTTAATAGACTGGTGTAGATGTAACCTTTTCTGTTGGCGAAATTCCAATCTTGTGGTTTTATCTCGACATCTGCAGGAAGACTATTTTTGTTGAGTGTGTGTGTGTGTGTGTGTGTGTGTGGCTGGAGTAAGGATTGACAAACAGACGTACACACTGGCACATACGGCAACGAGTCGCTGTTCTCTCTACCGACTTTCACAGGAAATTAAATGTTTGGTTGAAACGTGAGTGTACTGGGCCGGTGTTTGGCTGTGTGGTGGTGGTGCCGGCGTCAAGCACTGGCCCACTCACCCACCCACTCACCCACCCACTCATTGACACCTTCACTTCCTCAACTATATCATTGACTTGATCACACCTTGCGTCTCTCGGCCAACAGGTAACACTTTATATTGATACGCTTACCTGTATTTCTTTGCCCAGGTATACAGCAGATTTGTTTACACCAGTTAATTTACAGAATTTAAATGAGTATATATTTATTTTTCCATTATTTTGTTTTTATAATTGTAAGGATATTTAGTTGCTATTGATGTGTTTTTTTTGTTTTATTTGAGATAGAAATATGTTCAAGTTTTTATGGGGGTTTAATACATATTTAGTCCTTACGTGGATTAATTCCTAGTACTACATTGAAATCTCCAGAAACGGATAAAGTTTTTTTACAGATAACACATTTTGGAGACTTATTTTACCATCTGGGAGAATATCATGATGGGAGGAGGTCTTGGGTGTGCGTGCGTGTGTGTGTCCTAAATATTGTGTTTGTGTCCTGGAGAAGGGCAGAGTGTCGTCAGGCAGTCATCAGTATTCATCCCTCGTGCCCCTGTGACCAACATCTTCAGCGGGCGGATAGGCGGCGCCACCACCACCCAATTTGACACTATTGACCACAAACATCTAATCAGATATTTTGAGTCGTATATAAACAAGTGATCTTAGTGACGTAATCGGTGTTGGGTGGCTGTCTCACCATCAGTAGCCAACCCTCATGACTTTACATTGCCCCCCCGCTCTTCCCGGTTCCCCCCTCCCCGGTTCCCCCCTCCCCCACCTCTCACATAACACATTAGACACCGCCAAGTCGACGACGAAGTAAGGAAGGGACATCACCAGCCATCATTACCGCCACCAGCTTTATATAACCAATGTGTGTGTGTGTGTGTGTGTGTGTGGGTGTTGGTTTTGGTTGATTGTTAGGGCCATGGCGCGCTGGGACGGGCGGATAGGCTAGTCAACGCCTGGCCCTGTAGCCGTATTAGGCCAACTTGGCTCCCTCCTACTAACCCCCTTCCCTCTACTCCTCTCTCCTTCCCTTCCCCCCACCCTTTCCCCCCACTCCTTCCCCCCCCACTCCCTCCTCTTACACACCTCTACCACCTTTACTCTGACACCCAATATCACCCTGAACTAAACACCTTCTTTCACCCCTAAGTTAATTTCAGGACCTCCCAGTCTACCTTAACCATTCCCTACGGCTGGCAAACCTCACCTTAGCCCCCTTCATACTCCTACAGGAATCACCATTAATCCTGAAGACGCGTCCTAGTAACTGATGGCTTGGCGTTATTCTTGACCGACTCCAAAATAACACACTGGCTTCGTTATAATGGTTTTCCTCCCTCGTACTTTTCAACCATAACTCTCTCTCTCTCTCTCTCTCTCTCTCTCTCTCTCTCTCTCTCTCTCTCTCTCTCTCTCTCTCTCTCTCTCTCTCTGTCATGTAACATCACTCTTGTCCTATGCCTAATAACACACACTTGCTTAAACCGACGTAGTTTTTTCTTTTTTTAAACCATAATTTAAACCATCGTGATCCCTACCTTGCCCTAACACCCCCCCCACCTCCTCCTTCACAGGTCTCACTTAACCCTATCTATCACCTCACCCCAGCCCCCCTCCCTCTCTCTTCCAATCTTACCTACCACCTCCCCAATTTTACCCCCCCAGCCCCTCCTCCAACCTACCCTACCTCGTTGTGACCTCTCCCCAGCCCCTCCCCTACCTCGTTGTGACCTCTCCCCCAGCCCCTCCCCTACCTCGTTGTGACCTCTCCCTCCCCCCATTGGAGCTGCTTCTTTAATCTCATTAGGGCCCCACCTCTAAACCCTCTTCCTTAATCTAGTTGTATCTTAATTCCTCTCTAGTCCAGCCTTTAACCTCTCCTCAGCCAGACTTCAGTTCGTTCTCTATGACTCTAGTTTTAGTCACTTGAGTTTTTTATTGTAAATCCTGATCTTATGATTTTGTTTACGTCAAGTTTATTTCGTCTGGCATTTCCTTATGAGGGCGTCACCAGATTGCTGTCTTACCGTGTGTGTGTGTGTGTGTGTGTGTGTGTGTGTGTGTGTGTGTGTGTGTGTGTGCGTGTGCCTTACCTGCGTACCGACACTAACCCAACTGTACCCTGCCTCTGTACTATACCTGTATCCTGTATGTGTTCTACTTTCAACACGTCGGTAGTCAGTGTGTGTAACCTTCCTCCTCTATGTCTCTTCCCTGTAGCTGTACCCTGTCTTAAGTACGTGTATTAGTCTACGGGTGTCTTCTATGTCTTGCTAGTATTCCGTTGAGGTTATTTTCACCTCCCAAAAGAAACACATCTGCCTCGTCTTCTAGTTCAATGTGCTGTGAGTTGAAGAAACCCCCCCCCCCACAACACATTCCTTGGAGGCGTTTAAGGTTTAAGGCACTACCCATGGCCGCACCCCTCCCCCCTTGCCTGGGCGTCGTGGATTATGGCGGAGGATTTATACCCTGAGCCTCGCCCCTGACTTGTGCCACTCACCAGGACACTGACACTCCCGCAGAACATAAGGCGACATGTAGGATTTCACCCGGGTGCCATATATATGTTAAATATGTTGATGGCGTTGCTGTGGAGGAGGTGGTCGACACACTTTTCCTCTCTCCTTCTGCCTCGCCTTCGTTGTGTTTACCCTGTCATGATCTCATTCTCCCGATTTCTCTCCGTGAACGATCATTTATCTCTCCTTGGTCTCCTCATTTCTCTACACCCATACCAGTCTCCTCATCTAAATCGTGATATTTTATTCCCAAGAAACAACACGAATGACGTCTCGTATCAATAGTTGGCTGTATGTAAAGGTCTTGAAGCCTGGGAGGGACCATGTGTGTAAAAGATGTTCAGCTTGGGGGAGTGTGGAGTGACCCTGATGGTGTCGAGATGTTGTGGGTGGGAGACGAGGCTGTTGCATAATACGTAACGGCAGAGTGGACGGGAATGACTAGTTTGTTTGTTGTTGGTCATTTCAGTTGTGGTCATTAGGAGTTGTGTGTTAGTTTACTGTAACAGGTAATGGTGGCGTGCTGAAGTGTGAGGGGGGAGGGGTGGGGCACATGTTAACCATGATCACTGCCACAGACGCTGCCCACGAAACTCTCACGCCCACTATTAGCCCACGCCCACCAGACACCCACATCCACTCTATCAGCCACGCCCAACAGACACCCACTCTTCTTTACACACATATGAACACAACTTTAAACCTCATGCATAGACAAATTCATTCAGGTAAGCCAGGTGAGGTAAACTCATTAAGATATTAAGTACAGGTAAAGACAACTGTATTTATAGTTACTTATAAAGCAACTCTCAAAAGGTAACTTATATATGTAAATAAAAGTAGGAGTTTCTTACATTGAGTCTCTTAAAATTTAATTATATTAACTTGAGGATTGAAAGCTAAGACTGACAGCTCCTCAGACACACTAGAATATTTATATAATGTTTATTTTCATTATACATCTCTATAATGAGAAATAAAGTGTAATGTTTATAATAGCCATAGGATCGTTAAGTGTGTTGATGTTTATACTGTGGCAGATGTGTGTTGAGAGCTCGTCGAAAGAATAGTGATAGTCTTACTGTTTATAGACCTAGAGATATATTTTATTTTATTCACATTTAGAAACTACGGGTACAATAATCATTAACCACTGTACCCCAAATCTAAATATCTACAATAAACTACAAAAAATCACCGTAGTTACATAGTGATTTCTTTATACCTGAGATGTATTACTAGTATCATAATGTTGTTATTTGTAGTGGTTATTGATACGTGTTGTTATTGTTACAGCTTGTGAGACGCGGTGAGGAGGAGGAGAGTGAGGTAGAGAGGATACAAGACCTTTTCCCCCATGACGACCTACGACTACATGAACGAGACCCAGTTACTCAGGTAAGTTTGTCTGTCTCCTGTTACCTTACTCGTGTGTGTGTGTGTGAGAGAACAGTTATCTTACTATGATTATTTTCGTTTGGTTGTGATTGTTATTATTTGTTGTTATTGTTATTTACTCCTTCATTTTTATGTGTTTATCGTGTGTGCCTGAGAGCCTTTAGCGGATGGCTGTCAGCTCTTTTAGGTCATTCGTGAGTCACAGCTTAAACTCACCTGGCAGTGGTCACCTGTTGCGCAATTAACCCACATGTTGAAGTCAATATTGTATCTTAATCAAGGGGCATAATGGGCTGATGACCTCAGGTAGGGGTTCAGAGCTGCCATTATATTGTATTTGGTACGTGTGTGTGTGTGAGGGGAGGGGGTGGGTATGTTTGTGTAGGGCGAGTTGTGTGTTGGGGAGGAGGGGCTGTGTGGGGAGGAGGGATGTGTGTGGGGGGAGGGATGTGTGTGGGGGGAGGGATGTGGGGGATGTGTGGGGAAGGAGGGATGTGTGTGGGGGGTGTGTTCAGAAGACGTTTATAGTGTAGCTTAATAATCAATGGCATCTTAAATACGAATCCTTGAACTTAAACAACTAATATTTATGTTTTGTTGTGTTTAAGAAATATATAAATATACGCATCACTCCCAACACATGTGAACTTTAGTGTATGTTAAGTTCAAGGGTTCAAAGGTAGCAAAGTGCTGATTCTTAGGCTCCTGGACACACTGTAAAGGTTTCTGCACACACACACACGGCGTACTTAATCTAACCTTCAGTAATCTAACAGAGTGGACTCTTTTCTTGTCTAACTTAAGCTAATTTAACTTTTCTTAACTTAGTTTTAACCAATTAAAGTCATCGTAATCTACACTAATTTAACATCACCTAGCCTTACCTTTCGTATTCTGAATTTCCACCAACATTTCCTTAGTTAAACCAAACTGAAGCGAACGTGAGCACCTCTTTCTTAAGCTAACCGAGGTAGTGTGTGGTGGTGGTCTTGTATGGCGGTATTTTGTGGCCGCTGGTGTTTTGTGGTGATGGTGATGGGTGTGCCAGAGTCGGGAGCCAGCCAGGCAGGTGAAGCTGTAAAACCACCATGATGTCCCCAGAGTGTTTTCCTGACTAAGGATAAGAAGCGACAGTTGGGTGACGTGCGTGAAGAAGCCTCGGGGCGGTGCTGCTGAGGATGGTGACAGCTCCTCCTCCCGCCCATCCGCCTGAGTCTCCACCAGTTTCACCGGCTCGTTCTGTCCTAAGATGTCTTGTTGTTTGTTCACCTCCTCGTGGCCAGAGATGTCCTGTGTTTACGTATTCTCTCCCTCCCTGCCCCCCACATCCCAGTCGTCTTCATCCCCCACACACACTCGTCCAGTACTGGGGTGAGGGTAGTAGCTCCTTGTGTTCCCCAGTGAAGATAACTCTCCACCCCTGGGTGACCACAGCCACATGTCTCGGGAGAAAACTCTCACACCCTCACGGCCGTGTTCACCAGCTAGGAAATACCTCATGTTAATACCTGCAGCTTACAACACAACTCAGCTTCTTGCGACACCATGGTACTACCGCCGTGTGTTAACGTGTGCGAGCATCCGTAGCTGAATGGGTAATGTTATACTATAATATATAACGTAGTTGGTGTAGACAAAGGTCAAGGTAAGTCGTGTACTGTGTAGCGATGTGTCCACAAGGTGAGCCTGTTGTGACGTACCTGGAGTAGTGGCTGACCTCTGCAAGTTAGTATTTTTCATGGTGAGAGTGTTATGTAGTTGGCCCGTGTCCCTGCTGGTCTCATTAGCCCTGATAGTAATGGTTACCTTAGCATGTCCCTGCCGGGGGTCCCTTGCATCGTTCTCACTGGGTCCCATCCCTCGCCCAGTCGGTGGTAGGTCCTTGCCCTCCCTCACCTGTGTGCCTCTCACCCGCACCTTCACCTCCGGACTCTAAGACTCCCTCGGGTGACGTCAGGTGACCCAGTATCCACAGCACGAGAGTGATCGTCACGGCGGCACAGTTCTTGATCACGAACACTTTGTACACTCCGGAAGTGTAGTGTGTCCAGTGCGTGAGTGTCGACCCATGGCTGAAACCGTGAAAGCTTTTAGATGTGTGAGCGAGTTAAAGGAAGCCGTCCACGCTTACCTGACTTTCTCTCTGCTCTACGCCCTCGCCCTTCGCCTGGGTAGGTAGGTATTTCCTCGACTTAGGTGAGGGGAATGTGGCACCAGCTGTATTTGGTGGTGGCATGTTGAGGGGCGTTAGGTACGCGGGCGTGTTGCATAACCCGCGCCGCCCAGGACCTGTTGCACCTCCCTCCTGTCAGATGCCCAGCCATGATTGCCACCCTCGTACCGCTCAGTACGGCATGTCGCCCCCGTTGTGTGATGACCTCTGGTGCCGCCCACTGCCTCATGGAGTCTACCGTTGAGCCGAAGAGGACTACCTGTACCTACCTGTGACCAGTCAGTGCCGTCGTCAGTAGCGCTGATAACGAGGACACCAGCTCACATATCCGGTGCAGCAGTCTTGTGGCGGCGTCCACTTACCCTCCGGCGGCATCCTGATATCCAGGAATCAGACCAACACCAGCGCTCACCGGAAACAACTATCTTACTAACCACTCCAGTTTTGTGGTGTCGTTATGAGGGTCCTCCCTGTCTTCATCACTCACACTTAGTTTGTTATTGTGAGTGTAATACCTAGAGAAGGAACACTACCGTTAGTTTGAGAATGAAAAACATCTAATTGTGGAAATTTTACGTTATTGAAAACTTGATTGAGAGGAATACAGACCAAATCGTCACCTGCCTCATTAGCAGCCGCCAGGTGATAATAAACTGTAGCTACCTGTGATGGTGGCCACTTTGGCACTATATAGCACACCACACCGCCGCCAGCAGGTGTGTCGTGGTAGGCGGGATGATGGACGTGAGGTGTGTGTGTTTACCTTGCACAAGAGGAGGTGAGCGTCAGGAGGGGGAACTCGGCCCTGAATTGTGGACACCTTGTGGCCTGCCGTTGTTTTTAGGGTTCTTCCACACGCTATGTAAACCTCGCGGTCTCACATTCCCTTACCCAGAGTGACATCCCCAACCACACACGACACTCACTCTTACGCTCGTGTATCTTCCTCATTCCACACAAGTCCAGGGTCATGTTTTCATTCCAGAACCTTGATTGATTATATTATATTTTAGGGCGTGAAATAAACAGGAACCTAAAAATCAGTAGAAATAAAGCTTACCTTCACTGAATCTACGCTTACAATCTCACTAACTCCACACCTACATCAACCTCCTCGTCAACCATCTCGTTTACTCCCCTAGCCCAAAGCAACACTCACACACTGCCACACTTACCCCCGGCAGTAACCAGCACGGAACATTCACGCCTTCAGCAGTTAGATAGTGGTGTTGACGCCCAAGATAACTATCGTGTTAACAAGTCAGTAGAGTGTTGCAGGAGAGAATAACCCCTATCAAGGTTAGGATATTTTACTTGCTGATGCCTGTCCACTTTTCGTTCACACTGGATCATAGAGAAACATGGGGCGGTAATCAAGTCTTCGTATTTGTATTCATGTCCAGTCGGTTGTGAGGACACCAAGTATTGCGTCAATCCCTCATAATGATGGGGACAGGGGTGAGGTACCGTAAGTGACGGCGGCGGCGGAGGGGTACGACCACTACTGGGGGGAGGTGTCGTCTAGGATGGTGAAGCGGCTAAGGGCAGTGAGGGACTATAAAAAGCGGCGACAGAAAAAATATCATGGCCACTTTAGAGGGATGATCCCATGAGTATGATTGAGGGACCAGGAGGAGCGGCGGTGATGAACAACAACACGCACACTCCACTAGGGACCTGTCCTGTCTAGAAAGGAAACGGCGGAGGCGACGACGCAGATGGTGACGCTAGCTGCTGAGGAATCCGCACAAGGTCGGGCTTAACAACACCCCGTGACTAGAATGCTACGCTGCTTGGCTCCTGGATTGCTCGCGGTGCCCATCACGATGTTCCGGCGGCAGTAATGACTCGCCTCGCTGTCTTTTATTATGTAGACTTTTTATATAAGGCGCCGGTATGCGATCAGGTAATGAGGGAGGGGGGGGGGATTCCATGTGTGTGATTGGTTGATGACTTCCCCTGATGTGTTGGGTCGTTGAGGTCCGGGTGTTGGTGGTGGAACTCAGGGTATGTTGCCTGGGGTGCCGCCTGTCGCTACTCCTCGTCTCTGATGCCTCGTGTGTCTTGACCTGTGGCGTCCACCTGTGAGAGAGAAAGAGAGAGACTACTGTAATGGGGGTGACGAGAGGGTTGGCTGGAAGAGGTTACAGAGATGTTGAAAATAAATGGTTAGAAATGATTGAAAAAAGGGGTAGCCACAGGGGTCTGAAATGGTCTTACAAGAAGGGGTAGAGGAAAGAGGGAGGTCTTGAAGGGGGTCTTAGGAGGTAACTGGAGGACAAAATGAAGGGAGTTGTGGTAATTCCAGGGAACGCGAGAGGCCTGCTGAGCCTGTCATGAGCGACCACACAACAACCCACATCCGCCCCCTCCTCGCTCCTTGCTTGGTCCCCCTTCCATCCTGTCTCCCTACCCTCTCCTTCCAGCTTGTCTCCCTCCTCCTTCCCCCCCTCCCATCCTACCCCCCTTCCATTCCTCCCATCCTAACCCCCTTCCAGCCTACCCTTCCAGCCTATCCCCTTCCCTCCTCCCAGCCTATCCCCCTTCCCTCCCCCCCTCCCCCACCTCCCCTCATTACCCAACAGTCCTTGTCTAAATTTTTTCTTCTCGACTTCCTCATCCTCTCGTGTCGTTCTCTCTCTTCTCCCTAATTCTTCTCCCAAGCTGTTATATGTATGTTTATCCTTCTCATTTCTTATTATTCTTTCTCCCTTGTCTTCTTTTCCTTCTTCGTTTTTCTTTTTCGTTCTTCTTATCCTTATTTTTTCCCTTTTCTCCCCATCTTTCTTATTTTCCCTTCTCTTCCTCTTCATTTCTTCTTCTATTC